AAAACGTATTTACGAACAGTCTGAAGTATTATTTGTCGATTCTGTTGCAATCTAAATTTTCGGGCAATTTTTTTTTTCAATATTTTACTCATTTTGGTGGACCAAAATATGGCAAAATTGAGAGGATAAAATCGCACCTTGGTACATGGTGTGGTTTTATATCAAATTAATCAAGCGAAAAAACAAGGCTTCTTCTCCAAATAACACCATTAAAATTTTTGGGCTTCTAAAACTAGGAAATTTTAGGACCCCAAACAAAAGTGACAAAAAGGTCAAAATATGCCATTCCAAAGTGAAATGAATCTGTCGCAGGCACTGCTGTCTTCTTTAGTGAAATAACTAACAATCCAGAGCTAGGATTCTTTAACGGAAAAACACCCTTGCCTCTCAAACTCAGTCGGTGTAGGACACCGACTGAGTTTGAGAGGTAAGGGTTTTTTTCCTTTAAAGAATCCTAGCTCCAGTACATTTAATTCTCGGAGGCATACATTTTCGTTTTCCGTAGGTTTCTCTTGACAGTTACAGCAAGAGAACCACTCACAATTTCCAAGACGTGAGCGACTGAGCGGGTCAACGCTTCTTCTTGAAACTCATTTTGCTCACTGTCTCTCACTTTCTCTACTACAGGTGTATCTAATTCCACTGAAGACGAGTCATGTTTCGTTTAAACATAAATAAATGTATTACACCCTCTCGGCCGGATCAAAATCCAGGTCGATAATTTAATCAGCAGAGCTCTCTTCACCCTCCTCGCCGCTTTTTTCCTTGTTTACATCCCTCTCAGCAGCGGTTTAAATCGGCATACTTGACTCAGTGGGTACGGCATAGTTACGTCATGATAAAGATGGCGGTTTTCAATTTGTAAAATGCCGATATTTGGAACGTAATTGTTCGCAACTAAAAACCTTTTAGCTCAAATGAACAGCCATTTAGGATAATGCAAGTAAGGAACTTTTGAGGAAAGTCAACTTTTTCTAGACCTTACTTTCCCTTTAAAGAGGCGTGCTTAAAACCAAGACAGAAAACATCTTCTTTTTTCTATTTATTTACCTAAATCAAATCTTACTATCTTCCTTATTCTATTACACATTTTTATTTTTCCCCTGTCACGGTCTCAACATATTAGTGGCTCATAACAGTTGAGATCAAGGTGGTCAAATATTCGATTATCAAAATTGCCTATATGAGTTGCTGTTACAGAATTTATCTCGTGATCTTTTCTTTTGTTTCCTAAGTGTTTTTAGAAGTGGATGTTGGCCTTGTGGGTAAGACACTTCTTATTCTGTGTATCTAAAGTTTGAATTCCTTCTAAATGTTTACCCATCAATTTAGCAAGCATCTAAATACCTTAACATGTACTTCTATTGGTTCCAGCCACCAATTGGCAAATTGGTATTTCATTAGGTAATTTTGTGAAAATGACCTCAGTAATTATTGTATTTATCAAGCTTATATTAGAGAGGGAACTTCACCTTAGTTTATATTTTACAATATTTACTGTATTTTTGCAATAACTTGGTCAAGTTTTTATGGCATCAAATTATTTTGGCATTTACTTTTGTGATTATTGTTATTGTCCATCAGATTCAAGGCAGATACGAATAACTTTTATCAATCATTAACCTCAAATCAATTATTTATCGAAAGCAGCTTAACGCAAACCCATCCTAAACGAATCCCCCCTCATATGAGGGGGGATTCGTTTAAGACCCCCATACACCACCTCCCACCTGCTACCTTTAACATTTGCTAACCATACTGTTAATCATTCCCTCATTAGCGATTCCATAACCTTGTACCAGCAATGCCACAAGGTTTCCTAGATAATTCCATTGCTTTATAAAATTTAAAATATGTATATAATTATAGACTATTGCGTTTGTCGCTTCTTGCGAAAAAGTGGTAAAACGCCGGGGAGCCATTTTGAAATTTAGCACCACTACTATAATCACCTTGAGCGAGAAGATTATAGCGAGATATGACAGAATCCTTTACCAAGCTGAACGTGACATCTTTCGAATCACCGGAACAATTACAATAAAATTGACTTATGCTAAGATTTTGATAGAATGTTAAGAGATCAAGGAAGTGTACATAAGCGGCTAAACTTTAATTCAAGTTATGTTCAGCAGTAGCGAGGAGAGGTGTTTGCTCTTGGTCCTTGTACCATGGATAGAAGGGTATCTTCCTGCAACACCTCAAAAGTTGCTCAATTATAAGGAGAGTAAACCTCACAAGCTGAGATAAAATAGCGAATGCGATCAAAATGGACATTATCGCTGGGACGAATGCCAAGGCACACACCTCAAACCACTCCAGACTTTTCAGATAAGCCCCATTCGGTCCGTCAGTTGTGATACCAAATGATAATGGACTTGCTTTGGCCAGATTGATGATAGGAATGAGAGATAAAGTAACAAGGGAAAATGTTTCAACATTATTCGCCAAGGGATGTCGATAAGGATTCTTCAAAACATGATGGAGTGTTATCAGTAAGCATGATGCAGACAAAAGGACCATGCGTAACATAACATCAGTGATGAACGCCCCACAAGCGAGGAGAACTAACCTTCTACCAATCAAAACGCTTTCCCAGTAAAGTGTTCCGTTATCATTATGGGTTGGCGGACGAAAAGGACCATGAAGTATGTCCGAAACATCTGTGTTGACGACCTGCTGGTCAGAAGACTCCTCGCCTCTCCTTTTCAGCATTCCCTTAAAAAGCCAATATATAAGAAATGGTAGCGGAATCATGCCGGCGGCAACAAACTCTCCTGCTGTAATGGAAGATCTGTACAGCTTGAAAGATCCACAGTAAAGAACGACGATGAAAGGAACTAGAAAAATGACAATATAGGCAAGAAGAAGATACTGCCACCATTGCATGCACGAAACATTGGCATCGATAAACAACTTCTTTCCAAATCCAATAGGGACGCAGTGCATCAGCTTAAGGGCCGTTTCTGCGAGCCTTTCGTATCCCAGCAACAGCACTTCAATAACAACAGCCATGTAACGGATAAGGGACGGCTTTTCACGTCCCAAATACATATTGACGACACGATGCACAGCATAAATGAAAACAAGGTTAGCCATTGTGAAAATGACTGTACCAGATAGAAAAAGCTCTTTTGTCACAGCGGTGAGTCCTGCAAATGGGCAGCCAAGTCCTTGATTGATGGATTGAACATGGAAGTTGTAGGCAGAGATAACAAAGTGAATAAAAGGAATTTTTCCAATAAGGTCTTCAACAGAACCTACTATCAAAGTCTCAGCTGCTTGATAGAAATAAAAGGTGATTTTCAAGAAGCCACTCTCGGAATGTTCACCACCAATAGTGCCGCCCATGTCATCCATTGAATGATCTCCATCTGTTTCAGTTTTCTTGAACCAGAAGATTTGCCTTCTCAGGGTGTCCAGTATAGGGGGCTTGATCACAAGATAAAGAGCCAAAATGATTGTTAAAAGTATGGTCACAACCCATACAGAATAGTCGTTGCATTTTGTAGATAAGCGGCATTCAGTTGAGAAAAGAGTCTCAGTAAATCCTTCTGCACATTGTCCACAAAGAGTACCGCTTCTGTTTCCTCGGCAGCTGTTGTAGCTCGTAGAAGAAGTTGATAAACAATAATTTTCCGGACAGGCAATAAATTTGAGCATTGATTGATCACCAGGTGTTACATAACCCCAGAAGTTTGGTTTCGCAGCAATGTTACTTTCAATGCAGGTGGCTCCAAATGGACATGGATGGCAGTCAGCCCTGGAGGCTACAAACAAGCCCTCGGAGACCCCTTTTTGAAGGCTGTAGTAGCCTGGATGACAGGGTTTGCATGAATATTTCAAAACGGTAACATTTAATACACAAATACTCTTATTTTTCTCCGAATATTGAAAATGCGTGCCATTATCCAATAAAAGAGCCTCTCCTTTGCTACATTTCATCCTCGACTTTTTATCCATGCGAACAGATCCCCCACCAGAAATGTCAACGATCGCATACGTACCCCTGTTAAACTTTAGTGAGGTCATTGATGTGTTTTCAAATATTAAGGGACCTCCACTTTCAGAGTAGAGGAAGACACCATTATCGAATTGAGAACTCTCTAAAAAGGTCCCACTCTCCTTTGTTTTTAAAAAAGAACAATGTTTGAATTCTACGCTGCCAGTTCCATAGGCAGAATGAACGTGTCCACTTTTACGGAGGCCAAAATTGTCGCGAAACACACATTTTCGGAATACCGTTACGCCGTTGCCGATATGGACAGCCCCAACTTCATATCCTAAGTTCTCTTCAAACCTCGTATTTTCAAAGAGTACATGACTATCGTAGTACCATGAAGGGTGCTTCTCATGAGTGCTATTAGATCTCACACATCCCAGACTGTGCGGTTTGTCTGGATTGAATAATACAGAAATAGCGCCGGCGGCTGTTTCGTAAAATAAACCAGTTCTACTATTACTCCACTTGGCCTTATAGGCACTGGCGCGACAATTGCGAAAGAGCGATCGTCTAACTGTCACGTTTTTGATGCCTTCGAATAAGAGAGCAAAATAGCTGGCCGATCTATTGATGAACTCGTTATTTTCTAGTTGGATGACTGCCTTTGAGAAATGTACATGTTTAAGTGGTGGTATCATCAAGCGAATGGCGTAGCTGTGATGAATTTCATCAAAATTAAATGCTCTTTTATTCGTTCTAAAAAGCGTGCTTGTAATGGTTAGTTGGACTGATGTTGGACCATGAATTGTAAACATCGCGTCATGAATATTATCGATAAAGGAGCATTTATCGATGGAAATATCAACTGGAAAAGAGCCGTTTTTTGGCGGTGTCGGTACTGTTTGTAATGCATATCTATGAGAGATGAATGTAACGTTGAAAAGCTTAACGCGGTAGTTGGGACTAAAGTACAAAGCTACTTTCCTGTTCTCTTTGTTTCCTATGAAACTGTTCGAAATTGTTACCATCCCTGCATTGCCATTTGTGGAGTTCAGGAAGATTATATTTCCTTCCGTTGCGTTCTTTGAAGTGTCCTTAAAAATGCATTTTAAAATTGTAATGTTACTTTCTCCTCCAGTGGTAAGCACACTAATAGCTCCATTGCCTTTTGTTAGCATTTCCTTCGTGAACGTGGATCCCTCCAATGTCACAGTTCCACCATCTAGCACAATGTCTATAGCAACGCACCTGTATACTCTTTCTCCATGATTTCCTTCCCATTGTTGAACAGTTACATTTCTGAGCGCAAAATTTAGCCTGTGAGGACCCCACTGAATTTCTTTCGAGCCTTGAATGGTTCTTCCAATTGATATTACACATCCATAACCAGTTCTGGCTTTGCATTCACTGAATGTAACGTTGGTAAGATCGACTTTTAGAACTCCGTGTATGCTATTGGCAAAAAGCGATCCGCCAGCACGAGCTTCGTTATTATGGAAGTTAGAGTTTACGATTCTTAAAGATGCACTTATACCAGCCGCTAGAGACAAGCAAGATCCAAAACGCTTTAAAGCTGCAGATTGGTTGTACCAATGCGATTCTTCAATGACTATATCAGCCCTGTCTGACTGAACCACAATGCATTGTGCATTTAGGTTGTTGTGACAATTCAGGAAGATGAACTTTGCTTTAGTTTCTCTAGCATGTGAGAAATATAAACGTCGTAGACGATTTTTGTGCCTTTTTCCATTGTGATGTATCTCGACGTCTTCGAATGTTTCGTTTGTGATTGCATTTGCAACTTTAAGATCGAAGAAGGGGCCTCCATTGTAAGAACTCTTAATTTTACCGCCAAAAACGTGAATGTATACTGGACGAGAACCTTTTTCTGCAGCTGACCTGTATTGTATGATTTCTCTCCCGGTAGAAAGACCATTTTTTTCAAAGACTGCATCTTTGATTTTAAGTGTAATATCTTGACTTTTTCCTTTAGAATTATGGAATAAAAGGACGCTGATGCATTGCGAATTATGTCGAAACGTTGAACTACTCATGTCAAGCTGGAAAGATGTCATGTTCTGTATTCGGATGGCCAAGGCTCTTGAAGCATTATGAAAGGAACAGTTGGAGATGGTGATGCGCTGGCAATCGTAACAAATAACTGGAGTTTGTTGAAAATCGATTCCTGACAGCATCAACTCAAATTTTAGTTGCTCGCCATTTTCGTTCTGAAAATGAAGTCCTTCTGTACATGAAACGTGTGGGGTGGAGTAGAAGCCCTGAAAAGTCAAGCTCTTGTTCACGGAAATACCTGGATAATGCATTAAAGTATTGCCACCGTTAGCACAGCCATACGGGCGTTTCTTGGTTCCACGTCCCTCAAGATAGATGTTTCCGCCATAGCTTACGCGACGAACCGCTTGAGCAATGGACCGACAAGGGTGACTTTGGCTGCCACACGCTTCAGTGTGTTTTCCATAAAGAGAAACATAAACATTCCTATAGCTTGAACCTGAAATCGTTATATATCAGAGTTTAAAAAGTATATCAAGAAAATTGCAAGGGGATTTGCAAGGAGATATCCAGATTATCATCACCGATAAACGTTATTTTATCTATAATTTGACCGTTCTCAGCCGTGCTGCTATTTAATTTCATCGTTCCAAAATTCTTCCCTAAAACGAGCTGTTATGGTTTTTTTTGCCATAAATATTTTTGTACAATTATGTACAGTTATAAGTTAGCAGTATTTCTCTGCAAGGATGCATATATGAATGTTGGCAAGAGATGTTACGATTTCTTGATGACGTATAGTGATTTGCGAATAGTGTAATAATAGTTTTAGTGTGTACTTCATAAAGATAAACCCTGGTGTAATTACACCGTTTTTGGCGCCAGAACGTTGTCCAAGGGAATCTGGGGACCAATTTGCCCCCTTTAATTTAAACAGCACGCGACGAGTTCAATACTTGTATAACGGTCGACCGAAGACGTCGAAGGAACACATAGAGATGTACCGATTGCCCAACGAATTGTCGGTAACATTTCGTTTCGACTTCAACTCTCAAATGTCATTTCATATCTAGAACAATCAATCTATTTGTTTTGCAGTTTGTCTGTTTCCTTTATCAACCAGTCCAGAAATAAATGGGTCTCTATACATCAGCAACCTTTCCACTTCAGTAACGCTTCACACATCGTAAGCGCGTGCTTAAAAGCTCTTGATTTAAAAAATTCACATCTTTCATGACGGGTTGCACTTTCTTATGCTCAAAATTGAGCAAACAGCTAATTATTTTTTTTATTTATCTCTAGACTTCGACGCCTTACGCTAGTCTTTTTTTTTTTGTTGCTTTTTGTCCATTTTTTCCCGCGTCTGTTTTACGGAGAGCATTACGCTTCGTTCTCTTCTATGCGATTTTCGTTTGATTTGAAGAGGAATAGAAGCTAGCCACTTATGTTAATCAATGTCATTAATACTTGGAATGAAAGTTTCACATAGCAAATGAAAGTTACATATCCTATCAGAGTACCAGTCAAGGTTTAAAATGAACCACAATAACTTCGGTTTTTAACTACACAAGCTTGGAGAGAGTGTACCAAGCAATAAAAACATCTTAAAAGAATTAGAGACAAGCTATTGTTTAAATTATATTCACGTCCAGATGTTGTCAAACGATCGGAGTCTCTGCCTAAGAATAGTTTAAAATAAGACCTAGCCTACCTTCCAAAATAAGCATTGAGTTAAAGAGATAACAAGGAAACGATCCTGTACCCTGTAACGGTAAAATAATCACCATCGAGTGAGAAAAAGATTTGCTTCACGACACATTACCTGAACTTTGGCTTGACAATGCCATAATAAAGAGAGCCGGTATCAAAATATTTTCGCCCGCCATTAGACTTTTCAAAGCTTAGCTTTCATGATTAATTCTGATATTCTTTTCTGTGATTTTTCTGTGATTATGAGTGGCCGGTCTAACAGTTTCGAACCAGTAAAACCGGAAAGTGAAAAGCAAATTTACATTTTCGGGTGTCGTCACAACTTCCTGTTTTGTCTTCATAAGTTAAAACGTTACTAATTTACTATAACATTTTATTTTGATACAATTTTTTCAAATCTCCAGTTCGTGGGTAATCAGTGGCATGTAAGGTAGTAGTTGAGCTGAACAAGTCGTTAGTGGATGCGTTTATATGGCTACTGCTCCCTATTGAAAAGGTCTAACTATGGCTTGTTTGATAGGAGTAGTTTTCCGTTTTTCTTCTGGCATAAACCCTTCTATTTACAAGGCACTTAGCATGAATTAGTATAGTGTCTGCTTGTGCTTGGGTAACAAAAGCTTTTCTCTTACCGGCAAGAACATAAGAAATATTCAGAAGGCCCCTCTACTGGATTCCTTTGGGTCAACATGAAAAAGATGACACGCAAATTTTCCTGAAGATTCAAGAATAAAAACAGGGTAGAGTCCACAAAAGCTATCGAGTATAAAAATAATTGTTAGCTATCTTAGGTGGTATTCCACAAAACGCGGACCACCCTTTCGTTCAGTGAGAATCAAAGATAGATTGCAATCTAGGCTTAGTCACATATAACCTACGTGTTACGTAATTTGCTTCTTTTTACTAAACTTGGCATGTTGGTCTAATTTACGTGACACCACCTCCGGAAAAAAAAAACTTTGACGTGTTAATAAAATGTTGGTGACGCTCAGAAAACACTGCATGAGCACACATTTACTTCTACCTCACCCCTATTCCTTACGATTCGCATCCGGTCTCGAAGTTAGACACCTCAGTTTCGTCCGTTCTAATTAGTTCGCATCGATCTTCTGGAAAAGAAATATTATAAAACACTTTTTGAGCTGGATCATGTTGTATCACAAAACGAAAGGGGATACACGACGACAGACAACAAAAGCGCGGGCAAAGAATTGCGAAGGAATGTTATCACGTGTCCTTTTGTGCTAACATCTTTTTTTAGTCACGTGACCATGAAACGATCTCCTTTGTCGCTAACGGCAACTGTTACGCACGTCTCCAGACACTGTCTACTTGTTTCGGTAGTATCTTATGCCATTTTACCGGTTAATAATAATGATGATGATAATAATAATAATAATAATAATAATAATTATAATAATAATAATAGCAGATCAGTAATTTCATGTAATTTTAGTATGTAAATAAGACATAAGCTAGCCACGGTCAACGCCTAACCTGAGTGAGTAGGATCGGCACCCAGATGTGTATATACTGCCATAATAGTAATAATGATAATAATAATAACAATAACAATAATAATGATTCGCAATGAGTTTCGATCCGCACTGAGCATTGATAAAGAGCTATACAATATAACCTGTGCTAAAAACACCAGTTTTATCGCAACACTTAATCTTTTAAACAGCATGCTTTAAAAAAGGTTTTTCAAAGTCTACTCACACTTTTAAAAATTGGCAGAAGTACATATACTTTCAAAAAATACCGCTGTACCTGATACTATCTATCGTGTATTCAACTAGGTTTTATTACCCTATTGTGTTTTGTAATAATAATGTGCTCAGAAATATGTCGCAATATCCTGATTAAACTTTATTGCAACCTGCATCTCGTGTGCCACGATTTTGTTCCTACCGCATTTTGACATCATCTGTGATCTAATATTGGACAGACTCACGGCAATATGGAATCTTTTTGCTATTTTCACACCCTAATTAACATATTTTTTTATACTGCCGGTGGAATTGTGCATCAATCCGACGCGAAAAACGGACAACAATATCAGAAATGATTGTTCGCGGTGAGCGAAATATTAAGCAAAATAGGAATTGGTTTTATTTCAAATTTTTCCGTTGTTTTTCTCTTTTTCTGCCCCATTTAAGAACTCTAGCCCAAGCGAAAAAGTCGGAAAATTGTCTTCGTTTTGGGATTGGTGGGCCGAGTCTCTGTTTGTATCCATTATTGTCGCAAAATATATTTTTTTTTCCCGCGCGAACAAGGGCCGCCCGCGCGAAATAAAATTTTCTGGCGAAGCGATTTGCTCACGCTATCAGCGTGCACTATCGGGATTTTGAGCACCCTTACGTATACTGAATTTGATTGCGCGGCTCTGCTAGCTATGATATAATTCTAATCGGACATGAAGTTTCCTGTGTTCCATGATACATGTTACAGTGTGGCTGTAACAAATTAGCAGACAGTTTCTTGCTCCGGGTCTTCGTTGTTAAATTCCTTTTCTGGGCTAGGCTTGCTTTTTGTTTGAGCTGTTTGAAAAGTGACATTTTTCAATGGCTACTTTCTTGCTCAGGACCCCTTCGGACCTGGGAACTCGGGCTTAGCAGTAAATTCTCCCACTGACTGGTCATGTGACAGTTCTAACCCTGTAGCGTCGTAGTGATTAGACGTGAATATCCTTCTTTTTCAATCGACTTTCACGAACAAGAGAATTAGAAATATTGCGGCTAGCATGGCGAGGACTCGAGATTGAAAGACGGCAGTCTCTGAAACGAATAACACAACGCTGAGGTTTCCCCTCAAAAGGGGTTATATCATGGTACGAAAGGTTTATATAGAGTAACTGTATAGATTTGGTCAAGTCTGGCCCCCTAAATATACAAAATGCAGAGACTTAAACGCCAAAGTTACTTCTCGAAATCAAGTTGTTAGCTTCGAACGCGATCTCGACAGAAAATAAAGATAGCTTGGACTAAAAAGTACGAGTAAGTAAGTTTTGGAGTCAGGAGAATTTGGTCTGGAATTCATGAATTGAACCCAGTTTCCCGGTCAGCACTCGTCTGAACATAAACTTTGCGCTATTTAAAGTGGATGGCGGAGAATGTTTTGTAAATCGCACACAGGTTTTAGCTGTGGTAGTTCTACGACATGTTTCTTTCTCGATTGTTCATCGGGTCAAGTTGACGTTTTAAGTGTTCGTTTTCCGGAAAGAGGATCAGAAGAAAATCTGGAGAAACAATTCAAACCACAAGTAAGTCAAGGCTCGGAAATCAGGACGCAGACAAAAGCGGTAGAGAACGAACGCTTTTACACTGCACATTTTGCTCTCATCAATTGAAAATTTCTATGGTCTAACTAAAGGGTTGCGCTAAAAATGAGAACTATAGAGTTCAAGGACCAGAGGGCTGTGCACGCGAGGATAAAGTGCCTGCGAAAATTCCAGGGGAAGATCGTACCCACTGTTCTTCAGGAAGGTCCCTTTATTGTTGAAAGAAATATTATTTCTTAGCTCAGGTATTTTTTCCTTGTGAATGTTGAAAGTTACTTTGTGAAAATATATATAGGGTTATGTTAAATGCGTGTTGACCACCACTTAGGATATGAATTGAGTGTACTCTTGGAGGCAATTCAAAAACTATTAATAACAGATTTATTTCCAGTCCATCACGAAAGTCTACAAAGTACTTTAATATTGAACTTGGGATAAAATAGAACATGCATTATAAGCTTATATGTCCTCCGCATTAACTGCTTTTATTCTCAATTTATTTATTGCCATAAATTTGGGACAATACAGCGGAGGCGGTTCTCGTGTTACAAGCAAATGGCACCGAAACAGTATAAAATGTATGGGAAAAGATTGTTTTATCAAAATAGTTGTCTAAGAATGGGATATTCTTTCGCTGCGTACATGGAAATGCAGCCTGCATCGGTTAAAGCGTCCATCGCTAGGAAAAAAAATACTCAAATTAAAGCCTACCTTTTCCCAAGGTTTACAGTAAACTCATAATTCTGACTCCATTTTACCATACAAACTCTTAAAATCTGCTTCGACTAGGTTTTACAATTCTTTTGTCGTGGAAACAACCTTGTGAAGATTCGCAACTGCGTAGATCAATATGCATTCTGCAGAAGTTTGCTCAACTAAATCGCTCGTAAACGGTCGAATATGTTGGCCCACAAATTTTCCTCGAGCGGGGAAACTCTTCGTATTTTCACAGAGCTCAAAAGCCAAATACGCCAAATGCGCCAAATACGCCATTTTAAATACCCCTATTTTAGGAAGGAAGAACACAAAAGATACAAGTCCCAGAAACTGCACAATTTGGTCACCATTTTCCTTGTTTTGACGTCTCCTATGGATTTCTGCGATAGAAAGGTACCAGACCTTCTCTGGTGGTTTTTTCAGACCTTCTCTGAAAATAAAAAGTTACGTGTTCACTTCACTTCCACCGCCGCCATATGAAATCGTCTATTATACGATATACCCCTGACATTTCGTAACGGGCCCGATTTCTGGAGATGTCCTAAACAGTTGACATAGCAATTGGTAAGTAAGCAAAGTAAATCCATCTTCAGACTTTTGGGTTGTAAGACAAAACCACCTTTTAATCCTAACATTAAATTCTTCATTTAGCTTCACTTTAAGTGTCGATAAAGGTAACATAAGATTTAACTTCATCACTAGTGACATACCACAGCTGATTTATAATAAAAACTGAGATCCCAAAGTCTGGAGGAGCTCTCGCGGGAAATATTAAAAAAAGAAAAGTTTTTCGTCGCCCATCCTAGAAAAACGCCTGTTTCTGTTCAGATCAATTGAACGATTATTTAATTTTAGAAAGCAACTATGAAAACAAAATCATCTGCTCTTGTAATGAGCTGCAAAATCAACAGAGTAGTGTTCACAATTCTGGACAAAATATCTAATAGCATACGTACAAAATGCAATCATACTAGGCTGAAATATTTTATTAGACAAATTAGCAGTCAAATTAAGTAAAGTATGTGAAAGTGTAGTGTGATCGTCCGGGTGAGTGTAGTCCTGAGAAAGACTGTTGTCGGTGGTGGTGACTGACTTTTCGACAACCTGTGCGGAAGTCATCATCAGAGTCAAGGTTGTGGAAACGTCTGTCACTACCACCGACAAG